CCCCCAAAACCCCAAAACCCCAAAACCCCTTATAACTTAGAACAACTGAAGTATTGATTTTATAAATATTAAAGGATTGATTCTAAAGATGCTGTTCCCCATAGAAATTTCCCGAAATAATTACATGAGTAGTCAGAACAACAAGTACAAATCGGCTGGGCCTTCGCCCAGCCATAATTTCACTTGTAATTCTCGGTAAGTCATGATCTAAGTGCGGGAATTTTATAAAGAAAAGAAGTTGTTTAGGGCTAAGTTATTTTATTTTCGCCTAAGATAACTGTTCTATCACAACCTCTTCTTTTCCAGAATGGTGCTTAAGAGTTGTAGAAGGGGTATTTATTGTGACTCAGGAATCTGTAAGGTCGCTTTTCGGACATATCTAATATATGGAACCATTATATCCCATTTGTCATTTCTTTTCCCTGATAGAGGAAAAGTCGGCTAACGATATTTCTGATTAATGGGTCACAATACGAAGAATAGCTGAGAAGAACTACTTTTCAAGGGCTTTTCTCTACGATCACTGACTAAGATGTTGGGGTATTTTGGGTGTTTCAATCACTAACTAATTTAGAAGCAGGAATATAAAAGATTACAGATCATCGCTTTCTAAGTATCTGAAGGCTAACCCTGGTGAGTATCTGAGCTCTGTTAGTTCTTGTATATTTGCTTGAGAAAATTCCAAGCGAAAATGGATATATAGAAAAGTATGAGGCTATTGCTCTTCCTAAAGACCATAGCAGCTGCTCATAAGCCGTTTTAGATTAGAATTTTCAGAGATTCAATATTTTAGAGTTAAGGTTCATCTCGAATGTCAAACATCATTCTTTACTTAAAGCTAATAGTCAGCTTCATTAAAGGAAAAGAGTAATTCTAAGCATAGAATTGGAGTCTTGTCCTCCAAGGTATTTGAAGATAATTCTCAATTTTAGTGTTGAAATTTTCCACACTATAAGAGAAGTCAGGAATTTTATTTATATTACATTGTCGAAATTCTATGGGATTCTAAAATACTCTTAATTCGTTAAGATAGCTATTAAACCTTGGCAACAAATAAATTTTGCTCTCATTAAGAGAATAGGAGTACTATGTTAATAGGTTCTTAGCAAAAATATATTTAAGCCAAAGGTCCATTAGAAATTACTTAAACAAATATCTCTGAAATGACAGCAAGGTCTCTTGATTCTTAAAGCCTCTCTCTGAAACTTTAGAAAGACTTCATGCCATCCTAAGGAATCAGAATCATTAAGTAAATGCTTAAAAATGACCCTAACATCTTAAGCTTTACAGAATATGTACTTTTGACTTCTTTTGGGTTGCTTTCTAGTTAAAATTTAACAATGAATTTAGCTAACCTGAGATTTAACAACAAAGCCAACTTTGATTTTTGGCAAAAGAGCCAGATGTAAGTCAGTGTTGTTGATTTTAGGGAGACACAGCAACCCAGAGCGAGGAAGTATCATGACCCCTTATGACTGTTATAGACTAATCATGTGCAAAAATAAAAATGGGTTCAAATAAAAGAATGCTTCAGAGTATAAAATTCGCCTCTCCAATGAGCAAGCATATTACCAAGAATGATCTAACTGAGAAGTTTACACTGCAGCCTAGTGAATCCAGCTTTAAGGATAAATCAAAATTCAAAATTCTTCAGAATAAGGTATCCGAAATTCTTCGGTTAAATTCACCTAATGAAAGTTCAAAGTCGAAATCTAAAAAGCCAAGCCACAAGCAGTACTCCGGTGTCTAACTGTATAGGTTGCCCACAGTAGTAGATCCCCATAGCCCGAGCTCGACTGACTTCGACACTGTATTCCACAGTTTCCAGAAGATCACCTCTCTGGTCGACCGGATCTCTAAGAACAGCCAGAAGCCGTTCGGCGGCCAGCTGAAGGGCCCGAAGATTTCACTACAGAAGGAACTAGAGAAATTTAGGCACGAAGAAAGCACTCGCAGCGGGATTTCCATGACTGGGTTTAGGAGTACGTGGCTGGGGATTCTGAGCGAGCCTGGTCGGCCTCGTTGGTAGTTTTTGATACTTTTTGGGCTTATTTGAGGTATAGATAAGATCAAGAACTTGCAGGAAGAGAAAAAGCATCGAGATTTGTTTAATGAACCGGATAGGTTGCTGTAGATGGGGTAATAAAGGAGTGAAGGTAAATACCCTTTTAAGAAGGAGAGGTCAATTTTTTGATATTTTGGGGTTTTGGGGTTTTGGGGTTTTGGGGTTTTGGGG